GACATTTTAAATTTGACTTTTTCCACGTTAAAGTAGATAAACTTGTGATGTTGATCAATTCAAAAGAGTATGTGTGTGTGTGTGTACACCTTAATTAACTAAGTTTCCGCCAGCAGCATTTAATTTTTTTTTATGTTCCATTTGTTTAATTGACTTTTTTTCCTTATTATCAATTTTTTATTTGTAAAATAATATTAGAAAGAGAGCTATACAATTTGATGTTTGATGCCTTTCAGTCTTTCACGCGGTCACGCCTTATATGACCTCCTTATAGCTTTAGTATTTATATCTTAGAAATTAAAAGCCAAAAGTTTATCTTTCCTTATAGCTTTAGTATTTATATATTTTTAATATCAATTTTGTTTTTCTGATGTAGTGGTTATATGTCTCCTGAATATGCAATGCATGGACAATTTTCAAATAAATCAGATGTATATAGTTTTGGAGTCATAATTCTTGAAATAATTAGTGCAAAAAGAAATGGTAGACCTCCTACAACATCCAAGACTTTTGAAGATCTTTTAAGTCATGTAAGTGTTGACCTTTCGCAAATTGTTCAAATTTTCATATTTTTTCAATATCAATGCAAGTAGCTTCGTGAGAAATTCTATGAAAGTACAAGTGCAAGTCCTGATCTTTTTTTGGTCAGCAATGCAAGTCCTTATCCAGTCATATTTTTAGATAATATTATATTGTCATCAAAATAAGAAAATCACAAGATTTTGTCACCGTTCAAAACACTTAATTGGTAAACTTGTTTTATTCACTTAGTAACACACTTGGCTAACTTAAGCTGTACACAGCAGGTGCAGCTAAGAATTATTGTTGTACATCTCTAAGCAGAAACAAAAAAAAAAAAACAAGAAAACAAGGAGCGCGAAATGTGTATCTTATGTTATCTGAGAATCTATTGCAGGCATGGAGACAATGGAGGAATCATACCCCACTGGAAATTCTGGACTCAAACCTAAAAGAATCATATTCTCACACTGAAGTCATAAAGTGCCTCCAAATTGGGTTATTATGTGTGCAACAAGACCCAGATGATAGACCTACAATGGCGACTGTTGTTTCATACCTTAATGCCCAATTAATTGATTTGCCATTTCCAAGAGAACCTGCACTCTTCAGGTACAGTGATGGGAAATCAACTAACATGGTAGATAGAGATTGCAGTTCAGGTCGATCCTCCAATAATTCCACACCATCTTCTATCAATGACATGTCCAAGAGTACTTTTTTTCCTCGGTAGTTTATGCTTTTGCTCTTGCAAGTCATTCCAATTCTTTAGCATAGCTTATGCTTTTATTCGCCGCTTACATCTGACAAGAGTGACAATGGCATCAATGGTGAAGAAGGTGAAGAATACAAAAGGGTTGGAATAAGTAGAATTTCAAATACCTAGAATCTAGTTAAAAGAAATTTGAAATTATCAAGGAGTTAAAATAAATAAGGGCAAATAAAAAATTTTAATAAAAAAGTTTTATATGACCTTAAATGCTTGGTGTACAACTTTTTTTCTCATCTTTTTCTCTTTCCTTTTCTACTTCTCTGAGAACCTTTGCCACCAACAATATAGTTAGAATATAAGATAGACAAATCCTCTACTAATCATTGTTGTGGCAGTAATTTGGAGAAATTGTGTCCCAAATGATGGTGATTGAAATATTAGATCCACAAGAAATGTCTGATAGACAAATTCGCAACTCATATTTGCCGCACAGAAAAATGTTAGTATCTTATGTTTAAAATAAGTATTACAAGTATCATTAGTTTGTTTTTTAAAGTCTCCTGTTGGCCTATTTTCCACGAAGGGTACTAATATTTTACTGCACATGAATTACAAATGTGTGCATCAAACATTTTGGGCACGCGGGAAAGGGGAGAAACCAAACAACATTGAGATCATGTTATTTTCTTTCCATGTGCACACAAATTTACAAACATTAAGATTGTAGATGCATGATTATTGAGCCATTAATTCTGGCCCAAACATATATGGCCTGTTTAGCGTACGATCAGCATTTTAGATCTACCGTGAAAGGAATGATTTTATATAATTTTTATATTATATACTAACATTCATTCTAGTCACAAATGAAGAAAACAAAACATACAAAACACAAAAGAAAAAATCAAGGTTAATGCAATTACTCATCAAAATTATTAATAACATAGTCTCTTCAATCCTAATTACAAGTCAAAGTTAACTAAATTTATGATTGAATGTCAATTAATATCTTTAAACTTGTTAAAAAATGTGTCACCTTGTATTTTTACTATTCAATCAAATTAACCATGACAATAAAATATTATCCGGAAATAAAAATATCAGCAACTTATATTATAGATTTTGTCTTCAGATTAATTTAAGTTTTTGAGATTTTACATTATAGGTTTAAGTTATGGTATTTGGAAATTAGGTGCAATTTTCTCAAAAGCTGAGTAAAAGAGAACAAATGAGCAAGTGTAACCATTTCTTAACTTAAATTCTTAAGGCTTGAATTTGAATTATTTTTTTATTATATATTAATTATTAAGATTAGTTTTATTCAAGGCGAGGTTCTCTACATCGGCTCCCACATGCTTAGATGATTTAATATTTTCCCCCTCCTGTATATAAGGTAAAAAAAAATTGTATGACTTTTTTTTCATTTTATGCTACATTTTTGCCTAATTAAGGTCAAAAGATATGTGTAAGGCTTATTTTCATTTCATGCCACATTTTTGCCCAATTAATAATCCTTTAAAGCATTCAATGATGCAAAATGTTAAAGAAATTAAATAATCACAAGAACCAGCCGAATAAAGCTGGCAATGGGGATATCTAGATCCGAATCTGACTGATAAAACTGTCAAAACAATGGACACAGAAATCACAAACTCTTGTGGATGCTTAGAAGGCAAACACCAGCTGTCAACAGTTGATGAAACTTTTATTAAAACCTTTCCTCTCAAATTATATATGCAACGGTTTTTTTTTTGTTTTTTTTATCTAGAGCAGTTTTTTAAGTGTTTTCTATTTTTAAAAATAAAAAAATTTAAAAAATTATTTGGATTTAAATTTTAGTATTTTCAAAAAAATTCTCATTTTTTTAAAAAAATAAAATATCTTAAATTTATTTTCATTTTCAAAACACATTGCTTTTGGTTATTGAAAAGAATAATAGATGTGGGAAACAAATGAGATTGAGTACTTGTATTCAGAATCAGAGCAAAATTTTCAATTAGCTTCAGCGTCAGGATCGAAGTGATTTATAGATGTGTGAGATGCTCTCGATAGTTAAGACTTAGGAGTACATGCTAATTAAACATTCTTGATAATTCACACGGTTAATTAATTACCAATATTCCTCTTGCATGCTGCTGCTGGCGAAGCTACCAGAATACTCTGATCATCCCAAAAAAATAATTAATTAATAATCAAGATTCAAGACCCCACATTGTGCAAAACAATTCTTCCTTGAAGAGCACATTTATAACCCTAATATTATACTGCCTTCCATCTAAATTGTAACACACTTCTAACTATATTTTATGTGCCAGTAAAAATAGTTATTTTCCTACTTCTATGAAAAAATAATATATATGTATTGCCTTTTGTGCTCTATTAAACCCTATTATAAAAAGTGAGAAGAAGCGTTTAGTTAGTTTATATTTTTCATATCTACATTAATTAATTTGGAAAACAAAATAATTTCAAAAAGTATGAGGATAGCATAGCAATGAAGGATTTGTTGAGACTAGTATATGTTAAAGTTTTAGAATAAGTCCATTCATCAGGTCAAAAAAAAAGAAGAAGAAGAATAAGTCCGTTGATTAGACGTAATGACTAATTCACATAAATGATAAGTAATAACTATATTTAAAAAAATCAGCAATAAGCCAATAAAGAATCTGCCTATAACCCATATTCAATAGATTGCTTAATAATTAATGGATATGTGCTTGGTGCAAAGAGGGGTACACAAGGAATGATCTCGAATCTTTGTTCAACGAGTTGTAATATTTAGTATTAGGAAACTCAAACAATAACAAATTGATTCCCCCTACTTTCATTGACTTCCAGGTCCAGAAGCATTCAATTTATTATTTTATTGAATTTCATTCAAAAACGCCACTCCTCCTCTACTTAAATTTTTTATTATGATGAATCCAGGGATCGCATTGGCTTTCTTTTCCTTCCTAAGATATTGATATATGTGGCAAAAACTTATTTTCATGTTAGACTGTTTAATAATTGGTGCCAAGTCATTGATGATTATAATTATAAATTATATAAAAGATTACGGTGATATATAAAAGAAAAATTAATATTTTAATCTCTCAACTTTTCACTTATTTGTAATTTAGTCCTTCAATTATAATTTGCTATTGCGACTCAATTCCTTAACTTTTGACTCTTCTATAACTCATTTCCTCAACTTTCAACTTATTTATAACTCAATCGTTCAACTTTTATTAGCTCTCTTTTTTCACATTAGCTTAGACCTCACATCAAAGAGCAAAAGGAGGATATTTTAGAGCAAGATATGAGCATTTTTTTTATTATTTTTATTTGGTAAGGATATTTTTTTCCAAAAAATTTGAAAAATAAGAACCATCTTATAAGTGAGTTAAAAATCAAAGGACTGAGTTACAACAAATCATAGTTAAAGGATTGAATTGCAGCAAGTTACAGTTGAGGGGACTGAATTACAAGTAAGTTAAGAATTGAAGAATTAAAAGATTAATTTTTTTATATAAAATTTACTATAATTATTTATTTGCATTTTTCTGGGAGTGTGTTGTGTGTCTAATATTTTTGTGATTTTGATCACTATACAATTCTGCAGAGTAGCTGTCGCTGTAGTTATAGTTATAACTTATACCATCGATTTTTTTATTAATTCCAAATATTTGTTGCCTCCATCAATAATTAATCAAGGACAAAAATTCGCCTGTGATGCTTAATTTCATATTCTTCAATCTTCCACCAGCCAATGCCGTCATCATCACATTTCTTTCTGCAACACATCGGAACTCAACGCCAAACAACAATGGCAGCTTCCAAAAACTACGCAATTTCTTCCCTCTTCGTCTTCCTATCGATCTTCACAAGCGAAGCTTCTTTCAATTACACGGCTCATTACTGCTCAAACGCCACCATCTTCCCCACCAACACCACTTTCAAACGAAACCTCAACGTCCTCCTCCACTCCCTCACCTCCAACGCCTCCCAGTTCGGAGGCTACTACATGACCATCATGGGCTTCGGAACCACCGACGCCGTCAACGGCCTCTTCCTCTGCCGCGGCGACATCATCTCCCCCGCCGCCTGCCAAGAGTGCGTCACCACGGCCGCCAAAGACATAACTATCCGTTGCCCTAATCGAACCGCGGCCATAATCTGGTCCGACCAGTGCATGCTGCGCTACACCAGCAAGTATTTCCGGTTCGACAGCGTCATCCCCGGGGTAAACCTCAACGACGGCAAGAGCTTCTCCGGTGGGAACTTGGAACAGTTCAACGACTCATTATTCAGCTTATTGAATGATTTGACAAGGAAGGCTGCGAAACCACTGACGGTGAAGAAGTTTGCAGTTGGCGAAGCGATATTATCATCAAGCTCGCCGGTGACGACGCTGTATGCTTTAGAGCAGTGCACGGATGACTTGAGCAGTGATCAGTGTGATACTTGTCTGCAAAAAGCCATTGGAATTTTGGGTAACTGTTGTGAGGGAAAACTAGGGGCAAGTGTTCTTCTTGCTTCGTGCAACATCAGATACGAACTGTACCCATTTTACAATGTAACGGCTGTATCACCTGGAACTGCAGTAAGGTTGTCTCCTCCTTCAGGTAATTCTATGTATCTGTTCATCATTGTGATAGAAATTAACATGATTGTTGGATTTAATTACTAATATATAATAAAGTGAAATATATATAAACATAAGCTTTGAGGTATTGAATCAAGATGTATGTTTTCACTGTTATTCACCCATGTTCTCCCTCACAACCGGTTTCCTAACAATTGTTTTAATTGCAAGATGACAATTGTTTTACTAGCTTGCAATTGATTAATGCTTGTATGGTTCATAATTGTGAAGATTATTCACTATTTTAGTTCACAAATATGATAGCATTTATGCGGATGTGAATGCAAATAATTACTTTGGTTACTTGTTGGCTTCATCTTGCTGATGTTTTAGATGGGAACTAATTTTTTTCCAGCAATTATTTTTGCGCAGGAAAGAGGAAAACTGAATCGCGAACAATTGTTCTAATTGTTGTCCCAGTTTCAATTGCTGTTGTGATCTTCTGTTTTGGAGGGTTTTTCCTGCTGAACAGACGGAAGCATAGGACTGCAGTAATTAATGAATGTCGTAAGTAATTAACGCCACAAATGAAATTTCATTAATTTAAATTATTCTCCTTTGATTGAAAGATTGCTGACTTTAACCTGATAATTATATATAGTGGATGGTGGAGAAGAAATTTCCCATCTAGAGTCGTTGCAATTCTCTTTTGCTACAATTGAAGCTGCGACAAACCATTTTTCACAGCTTAACAAAATAGGCAAGGGTGGATTTGGGGAAGTTTACAAGGTGATCCAAGATGCATTTATTTTGGGGGTGACATATCAATTATGTTAAGTTCTAACTAACAAGTGACATTTATATTTTCAGGGTGTGCTTCCAGATAAACGAGAAATAGCTGTTAAGAAACTTTCAAGTAAATCCAAACAGGGTGTTGCGGAATTTAAGAATGAGATTTCTCTTATTGCCAAGCTTCAACATAGAAATCTGGTTGCCTTATTTGGATTTTGCTTGCAAGAAGAAGAGAAAATGCTTGTTTATGAATATGTGCCTAACAAGAGTCTTGATTACTTTTTATTCGGTAGTAATTATATTTTCTTCTTCCCCTTCATAATTTTAAACTTTGCAATTATATTCAGAAAAGTAGTTTCATTTCTTAATTTGATATTAAACTATGGTTAGTATATAGAACTATACTCATATATTTTCTAACCTAATCTTGGTAAATTTTTAGATTCAGATCCAAAGCGAAGAATGTTGAATTGGTTTGAGCGTTTCAAGATCATAGGGGGTATTGCAAGAGGAATTTTATATCTACATGAGCATTCACGACTTAAAGTTATACATCGTGATCTCAAACCAAGTAATGTGCTGTTAGATGATAACATGAATCCAAAAATATCAGACTTTGGCTTAGCAAGAATCGTTGCTATAGATCAAGATCAAGGAAGTACCAATAGAATTGTTGGAACATAGTAAGTGCCATGTATACTAGAGAACCTGTGCTTTTAAAGCTACTCAAAGCTTGAATTGGATTAATATAGTTGTTGCTCTGTAAACATAATTCTTTTACTATATCTTTATTTTTTTATATTGTTTTAATATTGATTTTATTTTTTATACAGTGGTTACATGTCTCCTGAATATGCAATGCATGGACAATTTTCAGAAAAATCAGATGTGTATGGTTTTGGAGTTATAATTCTAGAAATAATTAGTGCAAAAAGAAATGCCCGATCTCCCAAGTCAAAGATTTTTGAAGATCTTCCAAGTCAGGTGAGTGTTGAACTGTAGTGGTTGCTGGCCAAATTTTGATATATTTTATAAATATAAGTTATCTGTCTAAATTTACACACACACACACATTGTATGTAAATTTATAAAAATGACATTATTCACGAGTCACATAAACACAGCCCAATCATTATTTATTTACACACGCATTTTTCCTTTCTTGGAAGGGCAAAGAAAGTGCAAGAGCTAAGTAAAAAAACATCAAAAGAAGTTAATGGCTATATTTTATAGCTAGCCGTTCAAACGTACATTTGCTAAAATTTACAAATGAATAACGAAATGTAAATCTTATTGGAGAATTTGTTGCAGGCATGGAGACAATGGAGGAATCATACCCCACTGGCAATTATGGACTCAAACCTAAAAGAATCATACTCTCACACTGAAGTCATAAAGTGCCTTCAAATTGGACTATTATGTGTCCAAGCAGACCCAGATGATAGACCTACAATGGCGACAGTTCTTTCATACCTTAGTACTCAATTAATTGATTTGCCATTTCCAAGAGAACCTGCGCTCTTAAGGTACAGTGCTGGGAAATCAACCAACATGGAAGATGGAGATTTCAGTTCAGGTCAATTCTCCAGTAATTCCACACCTTCTTCCATCAATGACATGTCCAAGAGTGCCTTTTTCCCTCGATAGTTTATGTGCGAGTTTGAAACTCCATTCGATCTCAAATAATTAAGAAAACATTTTGTCTTTGTAATTTTAACTCAAGTATTATTTAATTTTTTGAATTTTTGACTCGTTGTAACCCCAATAACTATTTTGACTCAATTTTTATGGTTTTAATCAATTAAAATATTGATCCATATTTTTTAAAAAATAAAATTATAAATATTAAAATTATTTTGAAATTTCTGGATTAATATTTTAAATTACTAAAACTTATCTTTATAAAGATTAATTTTTTAATCTATATGTTTTTTAACATTTTAAATTATAAAAATTAAAAATTAATTTAAATAATTTTATTTTTTTAAAATACATAGACTAAATCACAATTGAATTAAAATTATAAAGATCGAGTTATAATAAGTCAAAATTCAAGAACAGATGAACTACATGGATTAAATAATTAATTCTTAATTAATTAATCACGGAAAATCAATGATTTTCTTTCATAAAAAAAAGGAATACTGATTATATCTTGTGTAGGCTTGTAGGACATAACTTGTATATATATGTGCCTCTTGGTCGTTGTCGGTCATTCAGATATTCTATAATGATTGCAAGTATGTACATGATTTGAGCAATAGCAATACTAGCTAGTTTCATTTTATGAAACAATTTAAGTGCACAAATTATTATAAATATAGTTACAGGGAAAAACTGTGGTCTTGCTTGCACTCAACCGCTTCGACAGTTTTTTTTAATTATTATTATTATTATTTGAGTTCATTATTTTGTTCTATTGTATCAACTTGTGCTAATTAAAGCTATTAGACTGGTTGGCCACGTTTTACTCAGTCTTAAAAATAAATGATTGACTTTTTGAACATGGCATGGGGATAAGCTTTTAAATGGATATAGTAGTTTCAATGTTTGATGTTCTGTTCACGGAATGATTCTTTGTTTTTAATTTTATTATATCATTGATTATTGATATTGATATTGATTGAAGTTGGATTCATGATTACACGGAATTAATGTCTATATCCAGTGGAAAATGGAGGGGAATAAGATTATCAATGTCATATATATCCTTTGCGAATCATTGTTGGTGGAGTTTGGGGAAATATGTATATTTTCTTTCCAAATCTGATAGATGAATGGAATATAATAGAAAAGGTTTTTTTTTTCATGTACAGTGGTTAAAAAATATTTTTTACATTAATTCATGAAGTGATCTTGTTTTAGAGGATTTAAAAAGTTAACTTTTTTATATTAGTTGTACAATTGATACAAAAAATCTATTTTTTACTCCGAGTCTAAAGCTGGTCTAGAGACTACATTAATTTTTTAAAAATAATAAATAATAGGATTCTTTATATATCGATTAGGGAGCTTAGTATATCAATTTTAGCTATAACTGATGTAAAAAGTATGGCCACTTAATGTAGAAACTAGATCTTCTATATCAGGTGCTTCACACTCAATGCAAAAAAAGTCTAATGATCAATGACAAACATTGCAAAAATATCATTGCTTGAACTTTCTACATTGTTTGCATGCTTCTAACCGATGTAAAAAACCTCTAGGAAATGGTGATTGACAGAGACTAGGTCCAAAAGAAGATATGAATGTTAGCGTTTAAATGTATGGTAAAATGTTAGTATACTAAGAAAAACATGTGAACAGTTACAAAAAATATCAATGGTATAAGTTAATATCAGTTCTAAATCCATACAATAGTATCCGAAGTGTCAGGTTCTAGTGTAAAAAATAATTTAGACAAATATAAACAATAATTTTAATAATAAATTATGAGTTACATTTAAAATTTAAATGTTTTATAAAGGCTTGTAAATTGTAAATATCTCAATTAATATTTATCATAAATTGAATTTTCACGAATTTGATTTTTTTTATATCTAACTGCCGTTTTTCTTACTATATACAATCTCATATTTTATCTATAAGTTACGTTTAATTATTTCACTGAAATTAAAGTAAGGTGGTTAAAATATTTGTTTTTGGGTACCAACATATATATCCTCCTAATAGAGGTAATATTGTTTGAAAATTGAAACACTGTCAGAGGTTAAATATAGACACATCTCTCAGCAAAAATTTAAACTTTGATTTGTCATGTTATGATGGACTACTTCTTTTCGCTAGATCCAACCCTTGTTGGTGTTAAATTATTAATCTTGTCTAAATTTTCTTTTTGTTATCCTTCTTAAATGCATCATTTTTAAAATATTTTCTCTCTTTTGTAACTTTATACTCTTTATTCATAGGAAATTATTAAATAAAAATAAAAGCAATTATTTAACAATCCATCTTTTTATATAAAATCACTTATAAAAATTATAATTTTTTTTTTTAGAAAGTGACTGAGCGACTTTAATTGATAGGGGGAAAAAACAAAGAGTATATATAAATGATGTTGTTGGGCTATTCTTGAAGAATTTTGGTGCAGCCGCGGGAGAGCTCCTCTCATCCTTTATTTATGGTATCAGTTTGAGGCACGTCTTCAGGAAAGCCCACCAGCTCACTCATTGATGAGGCAGAGCCAAGAGAAGCTTAGGGCTTGTTTGGAAATCTATTTTAGGGATAATTTTCTGTTCTTCAGAACAAAAGAATAAAAAAATTTGTTTGGTAACATGTTTTCAAAAAGTGTTTTGGAGAATAAAAAAAATAGAATATTGTTCTGGAGAACAGAAAAATAAAAACAACTTTTAAGTGTTCTGTGATTATTGTTCTGGAAAACGAGAGAATGAGAAAAACACCTAATTTTATTATTTTTTTGTTCTCAGAACATGTTCTACAGAACACTAGTTCTCAGAACAATAAAATAAAAACAGTTTCAAACAGCCCCTTAAGGCCTGTTTGAAAACCTGTTCTGGGAACACTTACGATTCCACTCAATCCCTTTATTTGAAAATTAAAAAGAAAATTTAGACCAAATATTAATTCTGCAAGTGGTATTTAATGATAAATAAATCCTCTCTGAGTAAGCAAATGACAAAATGATTCTACAAAATGGGATAATTACTCTAAAATCTCTAGGAATTTATATATCATTTTTTTGTAAAATTACATTTTTAGCCCTTTACAAAATGAGATAATTTTTTTAATTATCGAAAAAATGTTTTTTTTATTGTCCTAGTCAGCTCACTTGCTTGTCATGTTAATCTACATGGCTGTCATATCATTTTTCTATTAGCCATGTCAGCATAGTTTAACGGTGTTAATTTTTCTTATAAGATCAAAGATTACTTAGATGAATTTATAAAACGTTAATAATTGAAATGATAGAAATTAAAGTTGAGGGATCAAATCAATAGAACCTCAAAATATAAGGGATTAAAAGTTACTTTATCCTTTAAAATAATAGAGATAAAATCATTAATATAGGAATCATACATAGTTTAAGTATTAACAATAGTTTGGTCATAACTTTAATTTAGTCATGCAATGATAATTATATTTTTTATATTAACAATTTTTTTATGAACAACTTTGGTTTAAGTATTAACGACTCTATTTTTTTAATATTTTGCTTAGGATAAAAATATAATCTTGCAATAGTTTTATTTAGGATGGATTTAAATCCTCTAAAATTGTAATTCATTATTTTTTGCAATTTTTTTAAGAAAAAGAGAGAACATTTTACATTTTATGAAAAATAATAAAACAAAAAAAATATTAAATTTTTTTATCTAAATTCACCAATCTCCAATAAAAATGGAGATTGAGGGAGTTTAGTGTTGGTAAATTCTCAAGAATGAGATAATAATGATATCCTTGTAATATAATTGTAGACCATTGATTTTGGCACTATTCAAGCTTAGAAAGAAGCTTTGAAAGTAGTTGTTTTGAGGGATAAACCTATTTTATATAGTTGAATATTAATTAATTACTTGTTGAAATGGTTGATTTAAAATATGATCAATGTCTTGAACTCTTGATGCAAAAATTTAGCATGTTTGAAATTATGATAAATTGATGAATTTGTGATAAATGGTTTTGGAAAAATGGATAACCTTATACATACTTGCACATTAGTGAGTAATGATTTTGATTGATGCCATGTCATTGTGAAATTGATAAAAATGTGATATTTTGTGATATTTGGCATGTGGAGTGAGTTGAGTATGTGAATATGAATATATGAATTCATGTGATGTGATTGGTTGATTAAAATGCATAAATATGTGTAAGTTTATGCATAGTATGATTATTGACGGGAGTTTGCCTAGGGAGAGAAGTAGATTGATAAACTCACATGATATTAGCAGCAACTATTGGAATTGGGAGCTTGCCTTGGCACCAACTGTTGTAATCGGGAGTTAGCCCTTATCCCATAGTTGATTTGGGACTATTTTGCTTATTTTATGAAGGATTTAAATATAACTAGTCTCCACCGATTCATGAGGGGACTAGATTAGGGGTACGACACCCTATGGTTGTTAGTATTTGGGGAAATTGAGCTACACAATTGAGAGAGTTAACCTTGACCCGGTAGCTTCTCACAAGTGAAAGACTAGGTTAGTTTATGAAAGATTTAGCCACATAATAATTACTGGTTTCATGTTGGAGGTAACAAGATGGTATAAGGCTGGCATTTAATCATGCATTTAGATCCAACCACATAGTTGTTATTATTGTGGTTCGGTGTGTGTTAGAGGTACATGATTGGTATTTTTGTGACCCCATAATATGCATTGTTATTAAATATGATTATATGTGCTTTGGGCACGGTCACATGGTTGTTAATATTGTGGACCGTGGTTATGTTTACCACATGTGTTATACATGTGTGTTTATTGCCAATTGCATCTGTTGTTAGTTGATATGCAACTATATAGATTAGGTAAAACTTAGTTATTAAGTAGTTGTACTTACCCCTCAATTCTCAATATTTTTAAGGCTTACCTTATCAGATCTAGATCAAGGGAACTGTGCTGAGGCATAGGATTATAGTGTAAATCCTATTATATGCCTCTTTATGCTGTTTTATGTATATTTAACATTATTAATTTTCCAACTAGGTCATATGTCATTATTTTAACTTTTAAGCCACTTGCATTATTATTGTGTATA